AACTATTGCATGGCCCAAGGCCACTCCCCAACAGGCTGCTAAAAGAGCAAGAGGGGATGAAGAGAAAACAGAATTTTAATTTGAAGAAGGCCTGGAGCAGCCACTGGGCTACTCTAGGCTCTAATGCCTGCCCTGGGAAAAAAGGAAGGTGCAGGGGTGTGGGAAGTCACTTGAATTTGTACTTCAGCCCATGCCCAAGTGGAAATATATAATCTGCTTCGTAGGGCTGCTGTCTAATTCAAATGATACAATAAGTATAAAAGTGCTTTAAACACATATAAAAGTTGTAATCGTATATTGTATGAATATAGACATTAGATATAAAAATCTTAATATTGAGCAACCTTGGATGTCCAAGTCACAGAATATCAGTGATGGATAGCAGTGGTGAAATCAAATCTGAGCATCTACCCATTGTGTCAGTACCTGTCCCAACCTTTCCCAACAGATGCTTAGTAGGTTTCAGCCTAGATTCTTCCAAGGATTATTATTATTATTTTTATTTTTTGGAATTGGGAATAGAAATCATGACCTTGAGCTTGCCAGGTTGGGGCTGTGCCACTGAGCTATGTCCTCCCAAGAACTCTCCTTTGTGTGTTACAGAGGCCATTTCATGATCCTGAATGAGAGTTTGCTAGTGACTCATCACTGCCTTTGTTGTTCATTTTGGAACTACAGATATTAAGTGAGATTCCTTTCGCGTGTCCCAGCCTTCCCAGGGCAATCAGGCAGGACCCCACTGTTCTTCTTCAGATCCTCAACTGCCAAGTCCAGTGATGGTTTCCGGTTTCATAAGCACCTGAGTCAATGTGTTTGATAAGTGCTCACTAATGACCTGGGCCAACTGGTAAGAAGGAAACAGACCCTTACCCCGAGGGTTCCAGAAAATCTGTTTCTATTTATGAACGTTCATTGGGCATCCATTTTCACCTTGATTGAGAAGATACTCAGCACCAAGGAGGGCAAGCTGCTGCTATCACCAGCACAATGACAGAACATTTCCATTCATAGCTTTCTTCTCCGAAGGCTTTTCATGGGTCATCCTTTCTGGTGACTCACGTCCCCCAGTCCGTCCAGCTGTCCTTCAGAAGAGCAAAGCCACGTTCCACTAGAACAAACTCTTGGCTTCATGCAAAAAAAATCTCAATGTCTCCCAATAACAATGCTCAGGGATAAACAAAAATTTCTCTTAGATAAATGCCAAGTCTCATGCAGAGAATGTACCTCGTGCTGCTCTGAAGGCATAATGACTTCAAATAGCTCACGAAACAATTTGAAGACTCGCATACTCGAGCTTTCTTTTTAAAGAAGGAACAAGACAACACCATATAAACAATGCCATGATAATTATAGCTTTGTACTTGAAAATATGTTATCAGATAATTTAAGTCCATCCTCAAATATATTACAACATTCTTTTCCAGAGATCCTGTATTCCAACAGTGTTGTTTTCAGCCTAACAATTTTTTTTTTAAATTTTTTTTTTTATTTTGTGGCTGGCTCAGCATGTGGTGTCAGGGATCGAACCACAGTCCCTGTGCTGCCTAAGCTTGTCTAAGCAGGTGCTTTAGACTGCTGAGCTATCTCACCAGCCCCAGGACCTACCATTATTTATAATCATGCCATGGCCACAGATATTCACATAGGGAAGGTTTCACACAAGCAAGGCTTCTCTTTCAGAATAAATGAAAGAGCAAAATTTATAAGCTCTCTGTATATTAATTAACAGGGAAAACCCTCAGTTAATTTTAAAGGGATATTTCAAGGTTATCCATAGAAAAACTCAACCTCCTTTTTTATATTTCCCTGAAAACCATCTGAAAAAGATAAGCTTCAGAGCCGGGACGTAGCGGTAGAGCTTCCCAATTTTCTAGCAATGATACTTTTCCTCCAGTTCATTTTAGTAGTTCATGGAAGAATTCTTCTTCTTCTCTTTTATGTTGTGAATTTATTCTCAATTGTAGTAATTTAAAGTAGATCATTCCTTGTTCATGTCAGTATCACTGGAATGGAAATTCCAAGCAAAAACATACATTTCTAGTTTTCCAGGGAAATAGATTTCTCCAAATGCAAGCAATCAAGTCAAAGTACACAACCTGGCTTCCAATGAACTGGGATAAGGTTTCACTGTCTATTTAATTAAAATAGGTAAGAACTTTCCTCCATCTTTGTCTTCCTTTGATATTTCTTCTCACTTGTACAAGGCAATGTTTGGAGACCTATTTAGCCACTGTCAGTGGAAAGACAAATGGGAATCCTGTTTTCCTGTAACAGGAAAACTGTTGTAGCCCAAACTGAAATCTAAGTACAAGGCCAGTCAGTGTCTGCAGCATCGAGAGTTTACCTTCTCTTCAAATGTATGGAATCTCTCAACTGTTATGTCATGGCTTGTCCTTTGTGGCATTTGCCTCATGCAGTAATGCAAAGGTCGAAACGCATAATGGGGACATGCAGGGATGCACTAAATCTAACCCCTTTTCTAAGGAAGTGAGTTTTAAAATTATCCAGCTCAGATGGAATTGGGGCTTCATGACTGTTTTATCAAAGACTGACTTGGGAGAAAGGTTAAAAAAAGGATGAACTGCGAATCTCAGTGGTTTCCTTTCCCCAAAGTCAATGTATGGCTATAGCTAGCAGGACTGGTGGCACGGTCTGAGGTGTGCGATCCTCTTAAGGTCTGAACCAGAGTTATGGCAAAACACCCGTCAGCATCCCGTCACTCCATTCTGGGTGTTAAAGGTAACTGAAATTCACATATCAGTGATGCCAAGTTCTTGAAAACAACGCATATGGCTTTGAGTGGAAGTAGCCTTTCCGTATCTCATAAATCCCCAAAAGGGTGACACGAATCCTACAGGATAACTGCCCCCGATCTACAGGAATGGCACACGCCTTCTGTTCGAGCCACAGGAGCTTGAACAACTCCTTGAGCCTCTCTGAACCTTTATCTCCCCATCTGAAAAGTGAAGACACCACTGTTAGATCTGCCATTCACACCGCAGCTGTAACTGGGCTCCTTAAACCTGTGAAGCTTTGGGTAAGTGGCACCTTTCGTGGCCATCACTATAATGATTGTGGTTCCACCAATAAAAGTAAGCACCTGAGTCTGGTTAATAATAACAATAACGAAACAGATACACACTAAAGGGAAATTTTAGACACACACTATTGTCATTAAGACAGCCAGTATAGAAGAGTCAGGAATGACACTTTCTTTAATTTGACCACCCAAGGAAGAAATGTTAAGAAATTTTACGGCAGATTTCAAAATGCTTTTAAGGAGAAGGAATATCTTGATAGCTGTATAGGTGTAACATCTCTACCTAGCTGTTTTCGAGGTGCTTCTGCCTCCCAATATCTATTTGCACCACTCTTTCTGTCTCTCTGTCTTCCCATCCATCCATCCATCATCTACCTACTTATCTCGCAAGACATACACCGGCTACCTCTCTTGGGTCTCCTATAGAGTGATGTTTAAAGCTACAGGCCTGGAGCCTGACTGTTAATCCAGTCCTGAAACTTATTAGTTGTTACTTGGACAAACACTGAACATTATTGCTGTGGCTTAATTTCCTAATGTGGAAATCATAATAGGGACGTGTTTCGCCATAAGGATGAAGTAAGTTACTTCTTGTGAAGTACCTAAAATAACGCTGCCATGTATCATAAACACGCAATAAAAGTAATTTTTTTTCAAGTTCTCTCTCATGGTTAGAAACCACAGTTTGGCAATGATTACTTACCAATTGGTGACACATGTTCTATTGTTGGGAGAAATTTAAATTTAAATCAAGTATTATTCATGGGTTTTTTAATGGGCGCATCTTATTTCCTTAAGTAAACTGCGATCCTCCTGAGCATTGGTGTACTTTGATTACAGAGCCTATTCTATGTGCCAAGAACTTGGCTAAGTGCTTTTTATAAATATTTCATTCATTCCTCACAATAACAGCATAAAATAACTATTATTTCTGTATCAGAGATAAAACAAAACAAAAAACTGGAGGGATAAAGAGTAGTCTGCCCGAGTTTTCTCAGTTAGTTTGTACAAGAAGTAGGGCACTTTTTGGATCCAAAGATGAGTTTTATCCATTTCCCTACATCATGTGCAGGTAGCGATTCACTGACACAGTTTCCATCCAGAGTCTGCTTTCCTTATTGATTCATGCAGTTTGTCGCTATAAAGTTTAAAGCACACGTCGTTAGACATCAGCTCTTTAATTATAATATATCCTCATACACAGGCCTTATTTTTCTGTGAAATAACTGCTACCACAGAAAATCTAAGATCCACTGGTCTCAAGGGCCAGGTTCGAGTCCCAGCAACTCCTTTTATGAAGTGAAGTTCCTGACAGAGCTTCGAAAATCTGTAACAATTTCTCTTGACCTTCTTACCTGCCTTACCCCTCTCTACCTAAGCTAGCAAATATCTGTGTAGGTCTTATCACCTTTAAATCATTACAACTTCCACAACAGATTCCATGCCCATTTTACCTCCACAATTGGCATATAACTCATAAACTTGTACTCACGGGCTGAAAGGACAACCTGTTCAGAGTCACTTGCTATTTTGAAAAGGCAGGAAGTTAAAAACAGCAAAAGAACATCTTTCCTTGAACTCAGATGGGGAAAGAATGGACAGTACAGAGTTCAGGCAAAATTTTCAACTCCAAATTTTATATATGAATCTTTAGAGCAGTGGGAATGATAGACACAGAAATGCTACTTTGACCAAGGGAAATCTGTTGTAAAAAATGATCTTAAAATCAAATTTGCATTTTAAGGAACTCTGAGATTATGGTCTAAATTCCACAGCTATGTCCATTTCCAACAGCCCTCTACTGAAATTCCCACAAGTGCTTCAGGGTGTGTGCATGGGTACCGTCATTCACACATCAGGACTCCAATATTTTACCTGTGGAGCTGACCCTATTTCCCATTACCCAGTAATACAAATTAAATAGGACAAACTTCCGCAGTCACCTCTAGACCCCACTCACCAAAGTAATCATCAGCAGGGGGATTTTCCATGTCATACAGCATCTTTTTGGTCAAGTGCTCCAGCTCATCTTCTGGGCGGAAAGAAGAAGGAACAGAAGGAGGACCCCCAGGCCCTGCGTGCCCACTCTGCAAAACAGAAAGCACATTGTCCTTTCACTGGAGTCTAGACATTGACCGCGGCCATCAATATGAACCAGCCGTGTTTGCACTGGGCTGGGAACAATCATCCAATTTGCTTATTTAGAGACCTGGGCATTAGACTAACACTTGTCCCTTATTCAGTGTCTAACCTTCACACATCTTTTCATTCATTTTCTTTATGAATATCAATTGGACTTTAGCAATCCATATCTACAACAGTGGGAATCTATTTCATTCAACAGTTGTCAAGCTGTTGTTAGGCATCATTTGGGGACTTTCTGAAAAGATAAATAAATCAAGTCTTTTCCTCTGAAAGACTTCATGGTCAAGATGAAGGCACAAACATGCTCATAAGAACAAAGCAGCTATAGAACTACACAGTCAAGGTACTAGGAAGGATCTCTCACAGGGCCTGGGAGGAAAACTTCCTGCACAGAGGCATCTGAGCAAAGAAGAAATACGTAGGTAAAATCTATTTGCATTCTGATTAAAAAAAATAATAATAACAGACACCATGAGGGGTCCTAGCAATTAGGTGTTTCTGGCCATATGTAAAGTATAAAATGAGAAATGAAATGGTAATAACATCAGATAAGGAGCTCCCAAAAGTGAAAGACTTTTAGTTCCAATTAAAGTGATCTTCCCAACACTGAAAATAGCCAGATATAAAATGAGGACAGTAAAACCAGTAGCAGTGACACCAGGCTGGTGTTCAGAGAGGTGGGTAAGCCGGAAGTAGAGCAATGTAAGGGAATCAAGAGTCAGACAAGAGAAGGCTTGAGATAACCAGGAACCCAAGTGCACGGAAAAAAGAAAAAGGAAGGTCAGATGCTAGACAGTAAACGTCTGCATACTATCTAAATAAAAGGAAACTTATGATGTCTTCTTTTCCTATGAAACTTTTGACTGTTTGAAGTATCACCCCAACATCCCTAATCAAAGTGTTACACAAACAGAAACACTTGTCATGAAAAATTTAGAAATAAGGCAGCGGGCAGATATGCAGACTGCGAATATTCTTGCTGAGTGTTTCTGCATTTTTATTTTATTTTGTTTACGCATTTTTAAAACAGCAGGCCAATACTTTCTCATCAGAATCGTTTATGGGACTATTCCACAAAACTGAAAGCTGTGTATTTATTCGCCTAGTATCTTCACTGAACAGAAAGCATTCTCAGACGTGAAAATCCCATGGAGCACAAATACCTGCAGATATTAGCAATCCTTCGATCCACACTGATTTCAACAACTCCAAGGTGCATATCATTCATTTGTGAGAGATCTAAACACCTTTCAACGTATGCAAGAATATTCCCTACTACCTTTGTGGCCTTTCACTATTTTCCACTTCCTAAAATGTATAGAAAGCTAGAAAACAAATAAGGGAAGATGAAAAGGCCACAGATATTTTATGCCAGTCATTAATTTCACCCTGGGATTTTATTTCACTGTTGGAGTCTTTGGGTTAGAGATTAGAAAGAAATGAGTAAGCTGTGGCCAGATGGTACAGACATAAATTCAGGTGCAGAGTCTGCAGAATCCTTCTAGCAATCTCCTCAACGTGCAATAGGGAAGTAGAGACCCCAAAAGTTCGGGGCAAGGCTAGTTCCAGTGAAATCAGGAGATGAGCACAGCGTGGTTTACTCACTTATCCAATAAATATTAAATATTAAACTTAAGATGATGTCTAAGTGCAAACATGACTCATTCTACAGTGTTGGTGTGTGGATTGAAAGGGCTCCTGAGTCATTCATTCCTCAGTCTGTTTGTTCATCTGCTCATTCTTACAGGGCTTTGTGTTTTGTGCTTCTCTACAAGCCAAAGAAAGGGATGCAAGACATATTAGGAACCATGCTGGCCTTTGAGAAGATTGGACTGAGGTGTGAAAGGCAAACTTGCACAAGTGACTAACTGTAAGCAGCATGGTGCATTGGTGGGTACACTGTATGCCGAAATGAACACCGGGTGACTGATTTGTCAGTATTAATAGCCTTCATGTTGTACATATGCTATGCACGTCTAGAAAAAAAAAATTCATGAAAACTTAGACAAGTACAGAAAATTGTATGATCAAGAACATTCATAGGAGCTTTAATTCAGTGGATGATCAACAGTAACGAAGTAGCAAAACATTGAATGGATCATCTAAAAATAAACATGTTGAGATATTGTGCATCTCCGGGCATAAGAACACAATGTGGTGAAGTGGTATCACAAACCTTAGCTGCAGAACAGAGTATCTAAATGGCAACACCATTTTTGTAAAATGACATGGAGACAGGAAAAATCTGAGAGGAAATACACTAAAGTGTTAAAGGGGATTTTTCCTGGGAGGTAGAATCCCAGGGACTTTCACTTTCTAAGTTTATTTCCTTACTTTACAGTAGGAAATTTTACTTTCACAATTCAGGAAATAGGAATTTTTTTTTTTTTTTATGATGATGACCTTGATGGCTATAACAAAGATCTTGGAACAGGCTTCTAATCCCAGTCAGGGGAAGATTCCAAGAATGGTGAAAGGTCAGAGTTGAGGGGCAAGTTAGTGTGAGTGGACAAAGCTGCCATGCTTCAAGGTTTAAGACTAGAGAGTTGGGAGAGAAAGGGTGGGTGAGATGTTCACCACTCTCAGGCTGAGGCATTTAGAGCTTTTCTGTGAAGGAGCTGGCCATGAGTGAGACCACAGATGAGTCAAAATCTGAGGAGCCAAATTCCTTTTGGTAGAAAACGGCATCCGCAAAAATGCATACAGAATTTATTTAATGTTTCAAGAAGTTCCCAGGAACATATCTGCATGTTCTCGGGAACATACAGGAAGTAGAAGCTATAGTAAGGCATTTTCACATGGGAATGATCTAATCAGATTTGGAGCATTCTTTCTGGAGGGCTGGGAGACAGGCAGAGCTGTAACATCAGTGTATGACAGATTTGTGGCGAGATAGGCAAGGGATCTAGTACAGCTGGACATGGATACCCAACTGTGGCACTCACTTAGTGTCCTCAGGCAAGTCTGGAAACTCTTGTGGTTTCATATTCCTTTCTGTACCCTGGTCTTACCAATGCACCACACAGTCTGCGACAGTTAAAGCAAGATGCTTTCATTTCCTGGTATGTAGACTCCTCAGACCACTGTAATGAAGGGTCTCTCTCTGGATGTCCTCCTAGCAGGCCTCAGAGGGAAGACCTCAGGATGGGGAAGTGAGCTTCACCTTTTTCACAGGTTGGCAATAAAAGGAGAGCTTGAGCCCAAAGTATACAGAGTCATCTGAACTCAAATTCCACACATTTCACCAAACACTGCATCCCTTAGAGCAACACTAGAGAAGCATGAACTATGATCTGCAATAACAATCACACTAGCTGCTTTAATGAAGTCACCAACTATTAAAAGACATGTGATAATTCCTGCTTCTAGTCTGAGGTGAAAGCCACAGGCTACCATCCCAAGAAAAGATTAAGATTATACAATGGAAGCGTAGCTTCTACTGAGTGTGTATCACTTTCCCAAGAAATGCAGTCTAAAAACCGTTAAGCAGAATCATGGTTAGGTTCGGGGCCGTCTGTGGTACTCATTATTGATTTCTGGTATTTTGGTGAGTAAAGTCTTCAAAAGACCATGCCTCTATGTTTCTGAACTTTATCTGTTTGAATCACTCCCCACCACTACCTCAATCACTGCTTAACACTTAACACCTGTCAAGTAAACACAAGCATCTCCAGTTGTTTCAGCCATCAAGGCAGATAACGTTGGCCTTCCTGTGTTTAGTTTTGTAAGGAATCTTCCAGCACTTTTCTCACTCTGCTACACAGACAACCCCTCTGCTCGACCTTAAGGACAAATCGCAGACGAACAAAAACTAACAGCTATGCCCGATTTGTGTTTAACAAGCAAGTTCTCACGCTGTATAATTGAAACCTTGGACTGGGCACTGGACAATGGCCTTGTTTTCTTTTTTATTCCTGCAGAGGTAGAGATGGCAGCAGTCACATTTTCACTGTGGCATGATGCCGTTCATGATGCAAGATCCTTGCCCAGGTACACATCCCCTCATGCCTAAAATTTCCAGCACTGTCAGGACACGCAAGCCTGCTTTATGGATGAGAACTGGAGCTTAAGGATATACGTGAGCATCCCAGGGTGTGGAAAGACTGCTAAGAATGGGCAGAGCCCTGACGGAAGCCAGTATGTGTGAGGCTGTAATGCCATGCAGAACGCCAAATGCATTATCTTCAAGAAGATTGTCATTTGATGCAAATATGGGCTTTGATCTATTGACTCCGCTGTGGAAGAACTGTTAAAATATCTGAGTGGAAGTTTACCATTCACTACTAAAATAATGACATTGTGAAACAAATAGAAACATAGCTTTTAGGCTTTTCTAAGGAAAAAAAAAAAAGACACATATACATATCACTATGAATCACTAACACAAATGTCTTTGAAATGTCTGAGCCTCTTAGAAAAAGCAGAGGTCAGTTATCAACAACAGCTTTCAGCACATACCATCAAAAGTTTTCTTGATATACTCTAACTTAGAGATTGCCAAGTGCTAAAAAAAAAGGAATGTAAAATCAAATTATTTGAAGTTTCTAACTCTGATAATTAGCTCTTTAGGCAGGAAATGACAAGAAAATAGACAATTAAAAATATAAGCACCAAGAGGTAGTCTGAGTCCATGGTTGAGAGGTGGGGGACATCAGAAAGGCAGGACTTCTTGGCTTCATCCCAAGCCTTTGCTTGATTTTATAACAAAAGAATAAGACAGGGACAGAGGAAAAGAGAAACAGGGAAGTAATGAAAGAGGATAGAAGGAAGGGAATGAAAATGTGCAAATCAAAGAACAAAACTGTTGGAAAACAGGAGAAACTGCTAAAATGAGGGAGGCAGGTTGTTTTAGATAACAAAAATTTTAAGAGACTTTAAATTGGCAGTTACCTTCATTCAAGTTACGCTTCTGAAATAAGCCTGCTGGCAAACATCTTCCTAA